GAAAACCACCTGGCTCCACTTAGGGCATCAAGAGTATCACCAATTCTTGGCAGTGGGTATGTGTCTTTTTCGGTTATACTGTTAAATGCCCTGATGTCCACACAGCAACGTTGGGTCCCATCCCACTTCTGACATCAATTTGTTACGTCTCTGGTCGTTAGTTAATTTTCCGTATAATTTCTTTCTGAAGAAACTTTAGCGATACAGATCTTTTCTTAAATAAAACTGGTTTATTCTTTCTAAATACAACTTTCCAATACACTTAATTTCCACGGTCACGCTATAACAAACGCTATAATTCACAACGAACGTCTCACGTGCTCAATAATACGTCTCTCCCTGTCCCCAGTTCAATTACACATTACATTGTTGCCGTCACGTCCTGACCGTCTTATATGTACAAGAATACCGAAATCTAGCAACCTCCCGAGGTTTCATGAACGTTCTAGAAGTGCATGACGTGTTACTAGCGTCACGTGACCTCCGCTATCGTAACAATATGCTATGTTGTTATCAAGTTAAAAAGCTGAAGTTGCAAACTGATCAAAAACGTCTGCAAAATGTGCAATGATAATATATCTAATCGTATATAAAGTTTATACATTATAGATCAGAAATATTTCTATACTCTAACTTTAGAATCGAAGTTATTTGATATCAGAAAAATGAACAATTGATTATCACATAGAGAAAATTGAGGTGATTTGGTGTCGCTAATACATACTGATAACGATGCACAGTAGGCCTAATGCTTGCTGAATTAGATAAAAATAATTTAATATATATATTATTGATAGGCCTAGATGTTTTGTATTATGGTGAAGTGCTTTCAAAATTAAAAAACAAATTTTCAAAGAGGCTTGGAAAAGATCAATATGTTGTGTATCAGAATGGCTGTTGTTTTACACAGAATTTTCCTTATCCATAGGGAATGGATATTAAGCAGTTTCACAAACGTAAGGTTTGTTTGGAATTTCACGCAAAGCTATACGAGGGTTATCTGCAATCGCCGTCCCTAATTTAACAGTAAAAGACTAGAGGCAACTAGTCATCACCACCCACCGCCAACTGTTGGGCTACTCTTTTACCAACGAATAGTGGGATTGACGGTAACATTATAACGCTATTAAGGCTGAAAGGACGAGCATACTTGGTGGAACGGAGATTCAAACGTAATGATGCAGGGAAGGTAGAGAAGCAGCTGGTGAAACAGGCTGAAGAGTCATGTGCAGAGGAAGACTCCAGTAATGAAACAGGCACATCAAGTGCTACCACACCAGTGGATTTCAGTAAAGGATGTGAG